GGGCACCTATGACTAGCACCATCTGGGCGCGAAAAGCGGCTACATGGTCCGCTGGGTCGGTGGAGTCGTCGTAAGCGTCCAAGGAGGGGAGTCGGAAGTTCGGGGGGACTATCTAATCCTGTATCTCAGGTGTAAACGGAGATCCCTGGTGTGCGTCCTCCCTGAACTCTCCCTTTGACCTGCAAACCTCCTTCTGCACCTCGTCGAGTCGCTGACTGACGAAGCGCAACTGGGCCCATAGGGAATCCGTAGAATCCGAAGATAATGCCTCGGGTTCGGGGTGGCCTCTTGGGTTTGCCGTCACTCCATCCCCGAGTGGGGCCGATGGGACCCGTGGTGAAGCGGGGAGCTCCCGAGGTAGCCTGAATGGGTGGCTCCGGTCAGAGTTCGGACTTGATGGGTGATGTCGTGAAAGGCTTCGAATGACACGGGCGACAGGTCGGCGGGGGCACCGTCGGGCGACGACAAGCCCGGGTCGTTGAATATCCGCCAATAGCACTCTGAGGTCGTGGCGGGATGTTCGTCACGAAGGTCTCCGTGCGGGGGATGTTCCCCCGAAGCTCCGATCGGGTGTGACCTCTTAGCCACAGGCTCGTCTGAGCCAATCGGGTGATCCCTCGACATTCGGCCCTCCTTCTAGCGCCAAAAATGTTGGTGTAAACAACTTTAAGTCGTGGCCTCGGGGCCGACGTGGCTCGGTTCGGGTCCGGATGATGGGGGATCTCCCTGAGACGCTCCTCGAGACTACTGAGGTGGTCAATTACTTTGTCCCGATTGGGACGGGGTCGCTACTCCCTCCGAGCAAGGACTCCTCGCCTGTGCGTTTAGTGGGTGGCCTCCGGCTTCGCACCTGCACAAAGGTCGGGTCGGGGAGCTCAGCCCGACCCCTCCGACGATCAAGTTAGTGGATAGTCGCAGGGGGTTTTTTAGTTAAGTTGTGTCTTGCTTGTGTGCCTCCTCTCTTCCTTCTTGGTGCGCGAGGGTTTTTATAGTGAGAATTACCGTTGCATGATGCGCCTGCCAGCATGGAGTAGGATCGTACTTCTGGTAGCGTCTGACATTGCCATTGGCGTGACATGGGGGATCAAGCCTGAGCAGGGTGTTAATGTGCCTTGGTAGGCGTTCCGGTCCGCTTTGACTGGGTGCCTCATCAGGTCAACAGAGGCGCGAGGCGTCATCTGGGGCAGCTGATGTCACGCGAGTCTTATCGCAATTATTACCCTCATCACGATGACGGTCGCCGCCCAAACCAGGCAGAACCTCTTCAGCTTCGGGAAGCCGATAGGCGATGGCTCGTCGGAGGAGGAAGCGAAGGAATCAGATGGAGCCACAGACAAAACTAATCGTTTCTTCATTGACCTCCGCAAGATCCCGGATGCAAAGTCCCTCGTTTCAGTCGTGAATGCATTAACATGTCTCTCTTCTATTTATATGGGAGAGAGAATTTCCCGCAAGATGGTGCTCCTCTCAAGGATACTAATCTTGGATCGATGCAAAGTAAACAGTTTACGAGCCAGAGGCTTCGTGAGTAGGGCAATAGCAGATCGTTGCTGCTGCTGTTGCTATTGCAGCGGCTACGACGATGACGACTGCAACAGAGGAGAAAACTACAGCAATAGAGAAAGCTATAGCAATGCTGTAGCAGCAGAAGAAGAAGAAGCAGAGGACAGTAGCTTGGGAGAAGAGCAGATCATTGCTACTACGGTAGAGAGGGCTGCTGCGGCAAGGACGACAATAGCGGCATTTCGCGCCCGGTGGCCCTTGTTTAGCTTCAAAGGAGGTCGACGCAACGATCCTGGAGGATGTCTGTGGAAAACGCTACACTACTTTGAGATAGAGTCGCGGTCCACGAGGCAGTAGGAGAAGGAGCCGAAATTCGGTGGAGTCCGACGGGAAGACAGATCTACTTCGAGATGTTTAGAAGTGGCCTTTACGGCGAAAGCTCTGATACCACGATAGAAAGAATAGAAGATAAGAGAATAGAAGATAAGCTTTATTGAAGAAGCTTTAGCTTAAATGTATTAAGCTATCCCTCTCCTATTTATACAGATTAGGAGAGAGAATTTCTCTCAGCAGAATAGAGGATTTCCCAGCCGGCGCTCGCATTGCTTGAGCACTTCGTCGTCAAGGATTCATCGTCCACGAGCTCGCCCGTATCACCTCAACTTGTAAGGGTTGCACGTTAAGATTACTATAAGCTAAGCCCGCTAGTTCGTTCTTGGCACGTTGAGAAGGCCGTAATTTGATGTCCGCAGATCATTTCGCCGGAGGAGTCGAAGCGGCTGAACGCGGTGGAATCGGCATTCTAGGACGTGGAGTCCATTGCCAAGGCCATCGGACCCGCCACCAAGGTGGTGTCACCATCTGGGTCGCCGACAAGGGGCCGTCGGCCGAGATCACCACCAAGCAGCCGCCTCCTCTGCCTTCGCCTTTGCCACAGCCTCGGCGTGGGCTCTTCTTGATTTCCTGAACGTTGCATGCACTTCCATGTGGTCTTCCAGTGAGTCAAAGTAGACACAGTTTACAACATGTTCTAAGTGGGAAGGAGGGGCAGAGAATCTACCACATACTCTGAAGTGTGAGATTTAATGCCACAAGTGTCTGTTGGTAAAACGTGTCTGTCTTAATAATAGCTTCATCAGTACACTTGATTCCATATTCTCTTCAGGCCTTTAATAAAACATTGGCATGCAATGTATAATATGCCACAGTTGCAGTATTCTATCCCCTAAACAAAGGCTATAAGGTGTCACAGCATTGCCTAATCTCCCTTGATTAATACAACAGTACTCTCTTCACACACCCCAATTAGTCCTCATTCCTTCACCGAGTTGTATAAGCCCTCGTCCTCACAAACAAACAACTTCCCACCATGTGCTCACAAACACACACACACACACACACACTCTCTCTCTCTCTCTCTCTCTCTCTCTCTCTCTCTCTCTC